GACTACCGTTTGAATAGCGTGAACTTCTGCTGAAAAAATAGTGGTATGGTCCTGCAGGCGTATTTTGTATCTAATATTCGGGCCCACGGCTGCCGCGCCCGTTTGGTTTGAAAGACATGAGCCGTCAGTGTAGAAGAATGTGGAGTCTAGGTTTCTCTGTACATACTCATGGAACAGCAATTGGGCATCCATTGGCGAAATGTTAGATTTTGAATCGTTAAAGAGATATTCAATAGAAATGTCTCGCAGGAGCCAGAAGGGAAGCATAGGCGGTTTAGAGGCAACGTTTATTTGGCCAATGTTGAGTATCTCATGAGCCTGATTTATAATTTCTGGAAGGAAGCACGACCTGCGGAGAGGTTGCCGGGAAAATGGTTTCCTGGCTTCCATCGCTGGAATTGCAGAATGGTTCGGAATACTTTTGGCGCGATAGTAGTATCGTAGGAAAAGGAAGTAACGGCGGTCTTCTAGAGCTGGCAGGTTTGCCTCCGTTCGCAGGGAGAGTGTCGGTGTTGTGCGGAAAGCCCCGGTTATCATCCGTAGACAATTTGATTGTATGGCTTCGAGCCGTTTACAAAGAGTGGGCGAGAGTGTACTAAAAAGGTAACAGTTGTATTCGAGAGTAGATCGGATGAGTCCTATATAAAGCATTGACAACGTTTTTCTGTCCGCACCCCAGGTAAAACCTGAGATGCATCTTAGGGCGTTTATTCTTTTAAGACAACGTGTCCTGATGTGCTCTACGTGGAGTCGAAAAGTCAGATTTGAGTCCAGGATTATCCCCAAAAATTTGTGGGATGTGTAAAACGGGATTCTATTTCCATCAATCTGTGGCGATTCGTCCAAGGACGGTAGAGGTCCCCTTTTAAAGACCATCAGAGCTGACTTAGGAGCTGACAGAAAGAAGCCCCATTTCTTACACCATTGAACGCAGTGATCGATTACCTTTTGTATAATTGAAAAGGCTTGTTTATAGCTTTTGTGGGAGACCCATATTGCAATATCGTCGGCAAAAAGTGAGTAACGGACAGAGAGGGTAAGAAACCGTGGAAGTGATAAAAAGAGATCATTAATAGCGATTAGAAATAGGGTAGGTGACAATACACTTCCTTGGGGTACACCGTGCTCCATTCGGAAAGCGTCAGAGAGCGTGGTTTGACAACGAACTCTGAAGGTGCGAGGTTTGAGGAAATTACGAAGAAAGATGGCCAAATGGCCTCTAATGCCGATTGAATGAAGTTTGTTCAGAACCGTCGAGCTGTGTACTTTATTAAAGGCAGAAACTAGGTCCAGGAAAACAGCAACTGTTGGTTGGCGACGTTCCCAGTTAACTTGAATGTCAGAGATTAGACGAACGACATTATCTGCCGTGCTGTGGTGTTGACGAAATCCACTTTGGCAAGAGTCTATGCATTTTTTATCTTCCAGGTAGTAACGCAAGCGGGTGATCACCATGCGCTCAAAGATTTTGCAAATACAGTTTGTGAGAGAGATTGGGCGGTAGGAATTTGGGAGTTGAGCGTCTTTGCCTGGTTTTAGAATCGGAACGATAATACTCCTGAGCCACTCATCCGGGAAGGAATCATTTAACCAAAGATTATTTAGAGCGATGAGTAGAGTGGATAGGTTTAGTTCGTCTAGGTTGATGTAAAATGCGTAAGGAAGACCATCAGGGCCTACTGACGTCTTGGGGCTGGCCTTTGCCAAAGATAATTTAAGTTCGCGAAGGGTAAAAGGAACGTTATAGGACTCAGTATTAGCTGAGGAAAAATCAAGATTATTGGTTTGTCTGATAAGGATTCGATGAGTATTTGGATCGTAAATCTCTGTCGAGGAAGCGGCTGCAAACTGTCTGGCGAGAGCATTTACGACTTCAGGCGGGGCCGTTATGAACGTGTTGTTTATACGCAGTTGGGGGAAGGGGCGTGGAGCGGTTCTTCTGGAAGCAAATGACCGAACTTGGGACCATATCTCGCTAAGGGGGGTGAATCGGTTACACTTAGCAGCGTAATTTTCCCATGCTTCCTTTTTTTTCCTTATATATAATTTCAGCACATTCTTTTCGTGCTGCTGAATAGAGGTGGGCGTGTCTATCACAGATACACCTTTGAAATTGCTTGTATGCCCTTTTCCGCAAAGCCTTGGCTCGCTGACATTTCCAATTCCACCAGGGTGGATTTTTAGGTAAATTTGGGCCACCGACTTTGGTTTTTTCTTTTATCGTTTCACTGGCTGAAGCCCTTACTGCGTTTATGAAGTTCGATATCGTACGGGTCATGCTGTAAGGGGAATGACGGTTGACACTGGCGTTAAATGCTTTCCAATCAGCCTTACCCGTATTCCATATTTTGCGTTCAGTTATAGGGGACAGTGGTGTGGCGTTGGCAAGCTCAATGGTTATAGGAAAGTGGTCTGAGAAAAGGGGGTCTGGTGAAACATTCCATTTGAAAAGCGGGGCTATTCTGGGGGAAGAGATTGATAGGTCAATGGAGGATGTTGAATGATAGCTGTGGCTGATGAAAGTCGGAGTTCCATCATTCATAGTTATAAGAGATTGGCGGTTGAGTTCAGTCTCTATGATCCGCCCTCTTGGAGTTAGCTGTTGGCTGCCCCATAATGGACTGTGGCCGTTGAAGTCGCCTAGCATCAGTGTTCAGGCATTTGTCCAAACAGAGCATTTATGGTATCACGGTTAACAATGTTTGAGTTGGGTGGCAAGTACACCGATGCGACCAAAACCTCTCGATTAAACAAGGAAATTGTTACCGCTACCACATTAAGTGTGGAAGCCAAGATTGTTTGACGCTGAGGAAGAGAGTTCGCTACATATAGTGCAACCCCTCCCTGTCGATTTGGCATATTTATGTCATGTCTATACAATGTGTATCCAGGGACATCATAATTGTAGTGATCAGAGTTCCGAAAATGCGTTTCTTGAATTGCTGCTAGAAGAGGAATTTCTTTTTGTAGATACTGCTTAAATTCTGATAGATGTGAGAGAAGACCTCCTACATTCCATTGAAGAAAATGCATGAACACTGCTTACAGCAAGGGGCTGTGATGACCTATTCAGGAATGAAAGACCGTTTGGTCACAGGCTGCGATCGTACGCCCATGTTCTTCTTTTTGACTGTGCGTGATCGGAGACGAGTGCTCGGTGTCTTCTGGGTGAATTGCGTCAGAGACGAGTCAGAGTCACTATCGCTATACATGGCTGGCGATCGCTGCAGGGAGAAAAGAGAGCGACTGTTTGGCGTCTCCTCCTCGTCGGTGAGATTCTCTGTTTGCTCACGACCTGTCGAGTCATCAGAGTCAAGGGCCCTGGACCGCAGTATCGGAGTTACTGGGGAGGGGTCAGTGAGCAAGGGGGTTCTGTCCTGCTCGATCTCTCCGTTCAGTTCTGATGTTTGGGCCGGGGGGCGACCCTCGGTGCTTTCACGCACGAGCTGGGGGCCGGGCCCCTTTGTCGGTTTGGTTGCAGGAGCCTGTGAGAGAGAGCTGTAGGACGCAGGTCGGGGCTTGGGAGCAGCTCGCCGGGACCTGTCACCAGAAGGGCCAGCTGTTGGGGTAGCTAGCTCTGGCCAATCGCGCTCCTGGTTGAAGGGACTGGCCTGAGGGATCACCCTTGCTTGGGTCCGGGTTTGGTTGGACAGCTGTGGGGCTACTCCTCTAAGCTCGTTGGCCTTTTCCTTCCAGACAGGGCACTCCCTGCTGGTGACTGGGTGGGGGCCTCCACATGCCGCACAGCATGGTGGGGCATCACAGCCAAGGGTTGGATGGTCTCCAGCACACCTTGCGCATCTTTCCGTACGAGCCCTGCACGTGCCCCTGCCATGTCCATATCTCTGACACCTGATGCAGCGTCGAAGGAGTTGGTATGAGGGCCTCACCTCGTACCGCACATATACAGCATAGAAGTGAGCTGGAAGTTGCGTTGCAGAGAACCTGACTTTCAGAAGCGGGTTGGGTTTGTTGTTTTTGGAAGGAAGTCGAGTGATGCTCACTACTCCTTGGTCGCGGCTTTCATGGAGGATAGTTTGAGGCGATTCTGTCATGAGCACTGGGGCATACACAATGCCCTCAACCTGATTAAGTCGATCAGCAAGAATCACAGATATTTCATCCTCTCCGAACGAGGTCCATGCCAGAAGCGCATCAGTCTGTTTTGCATCCTGTGTTTGAACTAGAAGAGTTCCACTTCGCAGGGCAGAGACTTTGGCTGCTGGGTAATACAGAACCTTCAGAAGTTCATCCCGGATTTTGTATGGGCTAAAGTTTCGAAAGCTTTTGTCTTTGTTTTTGAATCTAGCGAGAACGTAGGCTGGGCCGCCTGGGACAAACTTTCCTTCCAGCGTGGCAGTGACCGCCTTGGAGAAGGCAGGCGGCATGGTCAGATAGAGAACAAAGAACCTTGATTATGAAAAGTCTCTAGAATAGTAAAGAAGAAAGCGAAAAGAATGGACAATACGACCTGATGAAGTAGACAAGATGGCGACGTGCAGACGCCAACTTCAACCAACGCGCACGGAAAAACTTCAAAACAGAAAACTAAGTACCAAACAGAGGCTCCAAGAAATTTGTGATTTGTGAGATTAGAGAAATGAGCCGAGAAAATAGCTATATCGCAAAACCTATCGCCAGAATATCGAATAAATCTTCGACACGAGCTAACCACGTGGCTCGTACACAAGAGCAATGAACTTGTTTGCAGGTTTGCTTCATATTTTGTAACAAACGCGCAAAAACTGCAATAAAACAGCACTATATGCTTCTGGACAAAATACAATGAAAGTAAAAACTTAGCTCTGATGGTATTCACTCTCGGCCAAAATCTAATGACAAAATATTTTATAGTAAGAACTAAATTTCGGCTAAAAACAACGCACGTTTTAAAAAAGAATCATTCCAATGAGGGTCCATTATTGCAGTCCTGAAATCGCCACTATTTCCGGCCTCTCCAACGCAACTCGTTGTCCAGACGTAAATATGCTTCATGCTATGCGCTAACGCGCAAGCTTCGTCTCAATTTAACTTTGTGTTCAAATACTGCTGTACTCATAGCGTATTGGATAACTCTATCGTTGATTGGCTTAAAGAAGACATACAAGCTTTCGACATTGATGACTGAACAGTGAAATACACTTGCTAAGCGCGCCATTTCGTCGGCGCTCTGTTTCTTTCGTTTGGGAGATCGCGGTGTGGGTGCGTGGTGTCAGTGAGAGTTAGGATCAGGGGCCGTATTCACGTCGATCATTTTCGTAAGAATTTTCTTAAGTTTGACCTACTTCTTAAGTAAATTTTTTAAATCACGTGAATTCCGTTGATAAAAACTTAAGAAGTGTCGATGTGAATACCAAATTATACTTACGAAAGAAAATCGACTTACGAAGTCGACGTGAATACGGCCCCAGGATTGTTATAAATTGTATTGCACACTGTTTGCGGACTTCAGGATCAGGGTGTGATCTGCGTAAATGAACAATACCATTATTTTGTACCTGTTACTTGAATGTTTTTAGTGGGTATACATAGGCGGCGGAACGGGGAGGGCACCGTACCCCCCTTTGATTTTGGCATTTTAACATTAGCCCTATGGGTGTTACATGGAAAGAATGGGACCAAAAGTCGGCAGTGCCCCCCCCCTTAATTGAAGGTGTTCCGCTGCTACTGTGGGTATATTGTGAAGTAGGTAGGTAGCTAAGCTTCTTTCAACTTTGCCTTTGTTACAACATTTTAGTTCATGGGTATATTTTGTACTGAATTTATCTGTGACCTTTTCAGAAAAAAATAGGAGTAACTCACAAGAACAATTGAGACTCCTCAAGGAAGCTTACAAAGGCAAACAATGACAGACAAGGATGGAGGTGAGAATAATTAACAGTTATGGGTCCAAGGGTAGGTATTGGGGTTGGCACATATGCCTCTCACCCCTTTGAAGTGTTCAAAATCAAGGAGAAATTCCTGTTTTTCCCTGTAACTAAAAGCAATGCAGGACTATGGCATGAGTGCAGTATTTGGATAGGTATTCTGACACATTTTAGTTTTAAGGGACATCTTACAATAAAGTTAACAATTAAGTACAGTTGTTAGAGCTTCTCAACATCAAAGGTCTATTTTTTGCCCTGTTGTAGGGTAAGTTAGTACTTATAACTCATGCTGTGGTAAGGTTATGAATCTTACCATCCATTGACCATAACTTGTTCCTAGTTTTACCGATAACTTACATGCAGCTGTCACCTTCACAGAGCATTTCGATGATGCTGTGGAGGAGCGGGTTATCAATGAGGAGTACAAGATCTGGAAGAAGAATACCCCATTCCTGTATGACCTGGTGATGACACATGCTCTGGAGTGGCCCTCACTGACTGCTCAGTGGCTGCCTGATGTCACCAGGTGGGTACCTGATGCAGTTGGCAGAAGTTGTGAGCTGTAGGGTTCCTTTCCAACCAGAAATTAAATCAATGGCAGCAGCATTGACAAACTACACCAGGTAGGGGGATAAATCTTCTCTCATTCATCTCAAATAGAACTAAATACTATGACTTTCATCAAATTGTGTTTATTTTTTGCCCTGCTATATAAAATACACTTGTCTTTGGGATCGAATGAAAAGTGTTATGTTCACTAGCTAACTCAGCCATGTCTCGCATGCATCCTTTTCTTGACTGGGCAACTCTGCTCAGGCAGCACAGTTTGAAATAGCATAAGGTGGTACCAAAAAAGGCACACTAAGTTCATGGAACACTCCATTGTACTTGGTAATTAAGCTCAGGCTCAGCTGAGCAACTCTACGCCAACAAGATCTTATCAAAACTGTCATTCTTTTATGTAGTGTCAAAGGTCTAATTAAAATAATTGGCATGATGTTGATGATGATGATGATGTTGTTGGCATGCCTCCTGTTATGATGGTGTTCTCGTACCGCGTTTGCAAGTTGTTGACGCACGATCTATAAACAAACCTTGTATATTAAACGTTACATTAGCCACTAAGTTCGTAATATTTGTTTGTCGTATGTGTGGTCAAATATGTTAAGCGTTCTACGGCCACGAGAAAAAGTAACCTTTCTGTTTCAAGCTGCGATGAATTTTCTGGGGTCAACAAATTCTCGTGCCGTTAAATAACAGCTTGCTAGTCACTACTGTACCCGCGATGAAGAAAATCGTGACAGATGGTATTATACCCACTGATAATGATGCTGTGGTGGTCTATATCGGGCTTGGGCGGCCCGTGCAACATGCCGTGCCGTACCGTTGGGCGGCGGTGACCTTGTACGGTCACGTGACCGGCCGCGCGGCCGACCGACGGGCAGTTGACCGGCGAGGGGCGTTACGGCCGGACTGTACTTCGTGCGTGAGCCAATACATCTCCTGTGCGCATGATCAGCGAGGAGTGTTGCTGAGAGGCCATGCCACCACAGGTGCTTTCAGCTTTATGATAGAAGATTGTGTGATTATCTGTTACACTTTGGGAGCTTGGAGATATCCATAGCAATTGGCTAATATTATCATATAGTTACCTTCTTGTAGCTACTGGATGGTATGGATGTCAACATTAGAGATGTGGAGATGTATGCATGTGTGAAAATGTGGCAAAAACAGTAGTGAATCCCAGGAACAGTTAATGACCGGGATATTGTGACCATCAGGCCCGACGGGAAGGACTACACGATCCACCGGCTGATCCTGGGCACGCACACGTCGGACGAGCAGAACCACCTGTTGATCGCCTCCGTGCAGCTGCCGACCGAGGACGCCCAGCTGGACCCGTCTCACTACGACAGCGAGCGGGGAGGTAAGGATCGCACACTAACTACCTAGCTAACTAGGAATCACAGACAGACTGCCTAGTGCCCAGCTGGACCCGTCCCACTACGACAGCGAGCGGGGAGGTAAGGATCGCACACTAACTACCTAGCTAACTAGGAATCATAGGCAGACTGCCCAGCTGGACCCGTCCCGCTGCGACAGCTAGCGGGGAGGTAAGGATCGCACACCACTACCTAGCTAACTAGGAATCACAGACAGACTGCCCCATTGGACCCGTCACACTACGACAGCTAGCGGGGAGGTAAGGACGGACCCATCCCACTACGACAGCGAGCGAGGAGGTAAGGACGGACCCGTCCCACTACGACAGCTAGCGGGGAGGTAAGGACGGACCCGTCCTACTACGACAGCGAGCGGGGAGATAAGAACGGACCCGTCCGATTACGACGGCGAGCGGGGAGGTAAGGATTGCACAGACTACCTAGTTGGAGCCGTCTCACTACGACAGCAAGCGGGGAGGACAGGATCACACAGCGACGTACTAACCCTGTTCGACCCATCCCACTACAACAGCGAGCGACGTAGGTGCTCACATAAGCATTGAGCATGATACCTAGCTGGACCCGCTACTCTACCAACAGTGTGAGAGGAGGTAAGACAATAGCCACTGCAAACTATCACAGCAGTGAACTAAAATTGGATTTTGGTCGATTGTCCCCGTGAAAAAAAAAATCATAGGATGACAAAAAAGATACGACGCATACCTTCTATAGTATTTTCGCCAAAGGGTGCAATACCATTTTTAACGCCATTTGATAAAGCAGGATTTCCTGTCAGGATCTGAAAGAAAAGGATGTGAACCCATGGGTCATCAACCGTCCAATCATATGTAACCTTGCCAAGTTCAAATGCATGAAACGTTTTTTTTTTAAGGTGAAGTAATACCACTTTTTTCTTTTTGGGGGGGATAAAAATATTTGTCTCATTTGATGTGATTTTCCACCTGAGATTCCGAAAAATGGGACGCTGTATCAGTGTCACAACTCACACAGCTTCTTTGTTGTTATCAATCACCAGAGTACCTCATACAATTATCTTGCGCATTTACTAAATGTTCTTTGTTTTACTTTATTGTTGGCCGAACAGAACCATTTCTCCTCCCAGTCGGGTCATTTTCAAACGTCAAAGATGTTAATCGAATTGCGATCGTTGTTTGTCGCCGATAAATTCAGGTATCGTTGTTTAGTGGCGCTCATCGAGCTGGAAATTGTTCCGAGTTCCCTGCGTGTTACGGTTCATTTCTTGACTTCTTTGGCGCCTTGTAAACCAAGTTTTTTTTATAGATTGGATTGGTTCGACTAGGGAGGTAGACATGTGTAGCCATACGTCAGTAGTTTTATTGTATACGGGCGGCATAGTTGATCTACGGGTATAGTTATCATCATTCAGCATTCCTCTTGATTAGACGAGCTAATGCAATAGCAGCAAATAAACTTGCTATTTGTCATGCAGCCCTACCACTGGAATTACTTAGCATGCCCGATTCTCCGAACAACAGCTTAGCGTTGCATTGCAAAAGTAGAACGTACCTAAGTAGCGAACTCAAGATTCGACCGGTCACGCCATTCGTCCTTCAGTACGTGCCTCTGGTAATGCACCAAGCCAAGCTTGACTAAACATCGAGCACCAGGTAACCGCAGTTATTTCGCAAAGCATGTTCATGCTTGAGAAACTCGGAATGTCACACGATGAAATAGGCATGCCACCATTGAACTGATATTGTTCTTAAACATATGTGTAATGGTTTCTGAATGTCGTTATGAAGCCGCGGTCGTCAATTTTTGAAAGAATATTTCAATGCGAGTAGTCGCTGCTTAACCCGCGCCCGGCTGGGGGTCCTGGATTTCCACGCCCTGCTGGGGGGGGGGGGGGGTGTTTGAACACCCCCCTTCTAACTCGGCTCCTGGGCAACGTAGCGAAACGCGGAAGGCGGCGTTCGAAAGAGCGCCAAAAATAATGACGAAATCACTTCGGTCACTTTTTTGGTCAGGTCAAAGGTCAGGTCACCAGAGGTCATTGAAGGCAAAATTTCGCCGATTTTCAGGTCGAATGTCGACAATTTCCAGGAAGCCAACGCATAACTCGGGAACCAATAGAGCTACAGCGCCGCGGAAAAGCGCATTCGATAGCCCTATTAACGCCCTTTCTGAGTAATTCTCTCAGATTTGACCTATCGTCAACGGTTTTGCCTGCAGGGGGCAAAAACTGCAAAAATAACCGATTTTTTCGGAAACAGTTTTCTGCAATAACTTTTGACCCAAGCCTTGTACGAGCTTACTTTTACCGGCATCGTGTTCCTCTCGTCAAGACGCATCGAATGAACTATAACTTGACCTTGAAAGGTCAACTTGAAAATTTGACCTCAGGTCAAGGTCATGACCTGACCGGAAAGGGTCATGTTGCATATCAGTCGATCCGTATCGTCGAGCTGAACACATCTAAGGCGTTTTCATCGCTCTAGCATGCCTCTATCAAAAGTTATTTGCGAAAAACTGTTAGATACCATTCGTGACCTAAGATGACCTCAGGGCATAAACAGGGGTCACGGACACCATTTTCATGTTCAGTGTGTCTAAACCACTTGTAATTCAGTGTTTGGGAGTGTTTATAATGTCTTTCGTCCAAAAGAGGCGCATTTCAATTTTCTCCCATTGACTTATAATGGGGAGGTCGCAAAATTGACCTGACCTTAGGTCACCGATATCAAAATTCCAAGATATACATTTGATAGATACTGTTACCCTTATTAATCGCTGAAAGTTTCAAAGCGATCGGTCACTCGGTGTAGCTATGGCAGACATTGAAACTTTTTATGAGGTGAGGTCACTTCAAGTGACCTGGTGACCTGACCTTGAATGACCTTGGTCTGAAATTTTCACAACATGTGTAGAATTGATGTATGATAAGGTGTACCAAAAACGGCGGCGCTCCGCGCCGCCGTTTTTGAGATATTCGCAAAAAACCACAAGGGGGGGTGTTCAAACACCCCCCCCCCCAGCAGGGCGCGGGTTGTTACAACTTGGGAAACCAATGACCTCTTCTACAGTTTGCCTTTTGAGGGCCTTAAACCCGAATTCAACTGGAAATACTTTTTGAGCAGCTTCACGAAAAACACACCCTGTTTAGAAATTCCTGTGCCCCATCGAGGCAATAATACCAACTCAATAAGACTGCATTCACATTTATATTTTTGGCCCATGTTCCCGAAATTTCTATGTTTATGTTTCCGAAGACGTCCGATGAATACAACTGCTTAGTAGTTAGAATCATCCGCCAGCCTATCGGCACCGTTTCCGCCTCACTTACACCTTCCCCACGCCAACCAACCACCGATCTCACCGTCCCCGTCTCCGTGCAGAGTTCGGCGGCTTCAGCTCCGTGAATGGCCGAATCGACATCGAGATCAAGATCAACCACGAGGGCGAGGTGAACCGGGCGCGCTACATGCCGCAGAACCCGTGCGTCATCGCCACCAAAACGCCCAGCTCCGATGTGCTCGTGTTCGACTACACCAAACACCCGAGCAAGCCGGACCCCGGCGGCGAGTGCAGCCCCGACCTCAGGTCAGTCACCCAAACCAGGCCTGGACCTCGGGTCAGTCACCCAAATCAGTCCTCGGCCTCAGGTCAGTCACACAGTGCGGTTCTCGCTCGACCTCTGGTCAGTCACCCTAGTCGGACCCCGGCGGCGTGTGCAGCCCCAACCTCAGGTCAGTGGCAATCATAGACATGGCCTAAGGAAGATTAAATACAAAGTTTTGAGCAGTTATGAGGCATAAGAAATGCAACATAGTCTGGTATTGTTAACCGTTCACACACAGTAGCCCGAGTAACAGTCCTGTGCAGTGTGCACCGCTGGGCGCTGACCGTCGCTCTCCGCTCCGTGCCACCAGGCTGCGTGGTCACCAGAAGGAGGGGTACGGCCTCTCGTGGAACCCGTCTGTGAACGGTAACCTGCTGTCGGCCTCGGACGACCACACCATCTGCCTGTGGGACATCAACGCCACGCCCAAGGAGAACAAGGTGGTGGATGCCAAGAGCATCTTCACCGGCCATACCGCCGTCGTCGAGGTACGCTGGCTTGAAAATGGAACTCGTAGAGCCTGGCCGAAATCATTCTTCATTGTCTCTGGTACCGAGCTCGCTGACTTTATTAATAAGAGGCGCCAAGCCCTCTGCCACATTCCCGTAAAATTTTAAGTTCATCCCAGAAAAAAAAACATGCGCATATGGGCATGCCTCGACAGTACTTGGTGTTCGACATTTTACTGTTTTATCAGACGCGTGGTTGTTTCTTCAGGACGTGGCGTGGCACCTGCTGCACATGACGTTCTTCGGCTCGGTGGCTGACGACCAGAAGCTGATGATCTGGGACACGCGCTCCAACACCACCAACAAACCGTCACACATCGTGGACGCCCACTCGGCCGAGGTCAACTGTCTGTCGTTCAACCCGTACTCGGAGTACATCCTGGCCACCGGCTCGGCCGACAAGACGGTCGCCCTCTGGGACCTGCGCAACCTTAAGCTCAAACTGCACTCGTTCGAGTCGCACAAGGACGAGATCTTCCAGGTGCAGTGGTCGCCACATAACGAGACAATCCTGGCGAGCAGCGGCACCGACCGTCGCCTGCACGTCTGGGATCTGAGCAAGATCGGCGAGGAACAGTCGGCAGAGGACGCTGAGGACGGGCCGCCCGAGCTGCTCTTCATCCACGGCGGCCACACGGCCAAGATCTCCGACTTCTCGTGGAACCCCAACGAGCCGTGGGTGGTGTGCTCCGTCTCCGAGGACAACATCATGCAGGTCTGGCAGATGGCAGAGAACATCTACAACGATGAGTCAGAGCAGCCGGCGGCCGACGTCGAGGCCAACCGCGACTGAGCCCGCCAGCTGTGCCGACTCACGGACCGAGCTCAAATGACGACCCACACTCGTCACCGATCCTCAGAAAGGTCGGGGTTCATTCCTCATGAACAAATTGTACAAGGTGTTACCGGGAAGCTTCTGACGCCGCTGTCGTGACCAAGCACGCCTGCCTGTTTGTGTTGTGCTGACGTGGTCTCTGCTGTTCCGGGATCTCTGGCTGCGAGTTCGGTCGGTCAGAAGCCGTCATGTGTTGCTCTCCAGCTGGATCTCCGGTGCCACGGACTATGCCCTCCGTGCACCCTGGTCGCGTTCTCGCTGACACGCACTGAAACATTCATCATCATTCCGCGCTCCGGTCACCGGTGGACATTTCGTAATACAACGCCACATGGGATCGATGGTGTTTGTCGAGCGACTTCCGAGCCTTGTTTGGATGGTAAATCAGCTCCGATGGCGGCTACACGAATCCTGGCGACACGTTTGAAGCGGGCGATGATTCCGTGGCCTGTCTGCTCGCAGCGCAAAATCTCGTGACATGTCATGCTCAACAAGTGCCATAAATTTGTCAAACGACAAGTCCCCGGCACACGTAGGTGTTGATATGCAAATAGTGCACCATATGTGCCACTATTCGGGTCGTGGCGGACGCGGACGGTATCGCCTTATTTAGGCCCATCCTTATCCGGGTGGGCCGTTCACGGACGATTATCCCCAGATGAAGGCTATAGCTATCCCGCGACAGCCGCGCTGTCCACTAACTGTGGGTCAATCGACGACAGCCGACCGCACTCCGGCCACCGAGTCGCATGCCCCGGACACCGGAGCGCGCTAAAACAGATGAGGTCGGGGCAGGTCACCGGGTACAGACATTCCCATCTCAATGTGTGGGTGGGCGGGAGGGGTTTGGGGATGACATTTTCAACGTTAGGGGCGCAAAATGATCACCGCAGTTGACGCGCCTTAAAATCCCAATAAACAAACAAGGCGATGACATTTCCGACGACGGGTTCTTCGGCCGACACGTTGTCCCATCAATTCAAAGAACTCCAGAGGCACAATAATTTAAACACCTTTAACGCCTGGCAGGGTTTAAACTTTAAACGCTATGACACCACCTGCTATGGGCATTTGTCGGTAGTCAGTCGTCGCTGTAAGGCTCTATCCGCCCCTGTCGAGGGCTCCTGGAGCCGCCGCTGTTCACTGCGCCTGTCGGGGGCCCCTGCGCTGTTTGCCCTCCGCCGGCCGCTCCCGCAAGTTCCTCGGTCTGTTTGGGTCAGTCCGACCATCGCGGCCCGGCCCTGGGCTCACCCCACGGCGAAACACACCACCCACCCTGTGTTGACGTCTGTGCCGCGGGTCGGCCTGCGGCACTACGCGACTCTGCCCGCGCCCGCCATCGCCGCGGCGCTGCTGCCGTCGCCGCCCGGGTCGTGACGTCAGAGGCGGTGCCGTGACGTCACGGGCGGCGGGCCGCGGCCGGCGGCGACTCGCTGCCAGTGATAGCTGTGACGCTGACAGGGAGGGGTGCCGTCGACTGCGCTGTGATCGAGCCGGACCGCGGCGGTCCACGGGCCGTGTGAGGAACGGAACGTGCAGAGGAGAGACAGGTGAGTAGACCCAGAGAGTTTCGGAGCCGCCGCTGTCCCCCAACGGCGAGTGGCTAGTCCGGAAGGGGCGCCCCACAGGGGTACGGGGACCGTAATGGCTGCTTCAGAGAAAGACTCGCACGGTATTACCCAATGAAACCGACCAATGACAGCGCCAGTAGCGGCGACACGCACTGTACTCTGTGATTTGTTGTTGGCTGAAACTGGCCCCAAATGGGGCCGCTCATCCGCTCTTCCGCGGCCGCCATTCGTCCGAGGCCGTGGCCGTGCGGGGGCCGTCCGGTCGCGCCGCTGGACAGCCCGGACGGCCAGCATGAGTCGGCGCCCGGCAGCGAGCGGCCGGTCGGCGCTGCCTATCGCGCGTAGCATCGCACCTCCGCCGGGAGGAAAGCGACGCTCTGTGAGCGGCCAGCTCTGGCGAGCGCCCTCGGTACCGCTGGTCGAGGCGACGTGACGGCTCTGGAGACGGTCCACCGTCCGAGCGAGGTCAGGGACACTGCGCGGCAGCAGGGGCCGCCGAAGGGCCGGTGTTCATTGGACATTGACACGATGGTAAAACGGAGGGTGAAAACTAAGCCTGGTTGGAGGACACTCACCGACTGGTGAGATTTGATACGGAGCTGACGACAGTCAAAAATCAGAGTCTGCGAAGTCGACTCCATCGCTGCTGTCCGATTATTCACCACCCACCATCCGCGTGTTTACTTTCTCGGAACCGTCTGACTAATGGACATGCAACGGCAGGCGCCAGTCACTCGTATCTCCACCCAATACTATTGTATGTTGCAACCGAGCGGACCGGCCGTTTTGCGACTGACTCACGTCTCGGCACACTGGTGGCCGCTTGGCTCCGGTCCCGGTCCCGGCCTCTGCAGCGTTTGATCGGTGTGGCCGACGATGGCAGGGGGCGGGTGGGCGGGCGCGACCGTGCCGTGATCCTATACTTCGTGACCCGGCCGATCGATGTCCACGGCCCGGGGGCGGTGTCGCGGCCCGCCCACCCCGCCCCCGCCGGCGGCTCTCCCGGACCTGTCGTCGCCACCGCGGCTGGCCGTGCCGCTCTTATTGAACTAGATGGCCGCGGGCTTTGTCACCGAAGGGCTCTCGCTTTCCCAACTGTCCGATCCTGCCAGGTCAGCGGCCCGCAGCTGACCTGGCAGGAGCTGAGTCACCGTCACGCCGCTGGCGGCCGACGGGGCCTGACGGGCGGACCTGGACCGCCGGCCGATGGCCCGTGTCGGGGCCGGCGATAAACTGTCAGACGCTGCCAGTGCCGTCACAGACTCAGAGACGCCGCTCTCCGGGCCGGCTGACGTCACGCGCCTTCGACAAAGTTCCCTCCACGGTTCGGTGACGGGCCATCTGTGCCGGGCGCGCGTGACAGCCGGGCTGCGCGCAGCTCTCACGGCCGCACATGGCGTGAGCGTCGCGGGAGTCGGGCGGTGAGAGCGGCCGCGCAGACAGCCGTGGAGCGGATCGCGGACCGGTCTGGTGGGCCCGGGTTGATCGCCCGCAGCCACCGCTGAGGAGGTTCGACAGCCTCGAGCAACAGTCACTGCTCCGACGGGGACTCAGCGACCTGTCTCCCAGGGCGCTCGGGTGTGCCCGTAGCTTGGCAAACTCTTCAAAGTGAGACTGTTGCACCCGCGGATGGATCCCACCTGGCATTTGTTACCGGAGAGGTCTAGCGTCAACATTTGGCATGCTTTCCATCTTCCCAAATGGCTGCGATATTTACCCATAGGTCTTTGGGCCTGGGTTGCGTCTCTCCCGCTTGTGAATCCGCTGGTCCAGTGTCACACGTTGGTATTGCAGGTAGAAGTAACCTCCATTCGGACCACCATTTACTTACACTTCAGTTGCCTTCTCCGTCATTAGTATCCGGAACCTCAATGTCACATACGACCACGCTAGTCTGGCTGAATTCTGAGAGCGATTTCAGATCTCGACGTGCTGTCTTTAGAAGCCCCTTTGCCAAGGACATACATGGGCTCGTCATCGTGGATGGTTCGCTGAAGGGAACACAGGGCGCGACTATTCGGAAACAGAAGCTGAACTGGGGACGCAAGCTAGTGCGGTCCCGCGCCACCCAGCGCTGCCTCAAAGCACGCAGTACACAGACGTTTCGAGACTTCACGGGGCTCAATGTAATAAATTCGGCGAAAAGCTCTCAGATGCTGTCTGATAGGATCTGCAGCATGGCAAGGACGCAATCCAGTTGTTGACCTTTACATAGGTGATAGGCTTGGTTGAGTATGCCATAGCGAATAAGACGGATGCTAGCATGAACCATTTCCTGACTTATAAAGTGATGAAAGGGACCTGCAGGTCAAATTCAGTAGTTACCCTAAATTGCCCGCGTTGCAGCGTCGTAAAATGTTATGAAATGCCGTCGGCGTTCACGACCGCACTTTGCACCAGACAGCTTATTGGCAAAATATTTGGATGAATTGACGACAGTAACTGCTAGCCTAATCCGAAGAGCAGGTCTTGTCTGCAGCAACGTTCAAAACATCTTGCAGTGGTCTTACGTTCTCGCGGGACCCAGCACTGCTGGGGCGCCGTGCGACAGGCCAGCCAGTCGCTCCAAAATGTAAACATGGGCCTCTCAGTCGGCAGACGGGTCTCTCCCGCCCATCCGGCAGGCGCGAGGAGTGGCGACGTTGCCGTGGTACCCTCCCCCCCCCCCCCCCAAAAAAAAACGCCAGCGGGCGCGCTCCGTGCGGAGGCCCCAGCACGCTATGAGCGCGGTGCTCGCCTGCAGTGGGCAGGTGTGGTGGCGCCGCGCGCCCTGCCGGCCCGGGCACCAGCGGAATCAGCGGCGTATTTAGAAAATCGCGAAGGGGGGGGGGGGCCAAGGGTTTGGAGGGCGCCACCTCACCCAAGGAGGGCGCCATACGGTCGCGAGATAAAAAATCGCTCAATGGGGGTTGGGGGGTTGGGAGGCGTTTTTTACCATCCCACCAGTTTTTTTTTTTTTGCGTAACCTCGTATAGGTCGTGCTGCATTGATTTTGCATCGTGTGTATTCTTTATACTCCAGGTCACAAAAGGTCAAGTGTTCTTGAAATGCTGCGCCGAAGGCGCGCGAAATTTTTGAAAACAACCTTTTCCTCCGCTTTTTAGGCACGCCTTTTATACGATCACTGTTCAAAGCTCCTCTCGCTCTTTTACCAAATTTGAAGGTGTAAAAAATACCTAAGGTTTGGTCGGGCCGCTGCCACACAAACTGTACAGAAAGCTTGGCTCATGGGTGTCGATGTATAAAAGTTTATTGGCGGTGGCATATCTACGCACCAGATCACCGTATCGGATTGATACCGGAGCGCGAGATGCGTAAACATCATCCAAATTACCTCAGACCAGCCTTCATAGCCTTCTCACAGATGCATACAGTGTACCCACATAACCAGTTTCAATCACCGAAACTTCAGATGCCTGCTGTTGCGCCCGAACCTGTTGACAATACTTAATCGTAATCCATATAGATGCCATGATGCACGTAAAGTAGGATCAATCCGTTAAGACCAAAGACGTGTTTTATGCATCGTAGAGCGTAGATAGTTTTGGTAGGTATAGATACTTCATTCATTGTGCTGAATGCACGTTCATTTGTGGCAGTTTTCACAGGCAAGACATCAACTATGTGCAATAGAACGACTAAGTTGAAAAACATGCCAAAGGAGTAAATAAATGATAGTCAACGGATGTTGCCAATAGGTAGAAGGGCTGCGTTCCACAGGAGGGCACTAATAGGTAGAAGAGCCCCGATCAACATCCCGAGTTTCGA